CATCCCAGCACTCTGGGAGGCCGAGGCAGGAGGATCGCTCGAGGTCAGGAGTTCAAAACCAGCCTGAGCAAGAGCGAGACCCCGTCTCTACTATAAATAGAAAGAAACTAATTGGCCAACTGATATATATATAGAAAAAATTAGCAGGGCATGGTGGCGCATGCCTGTAGTCCCAGCTACTCGGGAGGCTGAGGCAGGAGGATTGCTTGAGCCCAGGAGTCTGAGGTTGCTGTGAGTTAGGCTGACGCCACGGCACTCACTCTAGCCTGGGCGACACAGTGAGACTCTGTCTCAAAAAAAAGAACTTGGGCTCTCAAGTCAAGGCTGCTGCCCCACCCAGCTCCTGCGGGGACGTTCCCGCTCCGGGTTGGTGCCGGCTCCGCCCCCCCCAGGCTCCCAGCGTCTCCCGGGGAGGGGGGCAGCCCTGCATTTCTCACACCCCCACCTCCACCTCGCAGAGGCTCCACCCCAGGGAGAAGCAGCCGGCAGGCGGGCTGAGGCCTCCTCCTGCCCCACCAGCTCAGCGCCCAGGGTGTGGGGCCCGTCCTCGGGCCCCACAGGGCGGCGGAGGGTCCACACTGGGAGACGCATACCCCATGTGTAGGAGACACACACTCCAGATTCAAAGAAACAAATGCGTGGAAAGGGAAATGATGGAAAAGACAGACCAGGCCAGCAGCAACCACACGAAAGTGAGAGTAGCTGTGCCAATGCGAGACACAGAGGCTTTATTTATTTTTTGTTTGTTTGTTTTTTTTTATTTCGGCATATTATGGGGGTACAGATTTTAAAGACAGAGAGACTTTAAAACAAAGATGATGCCCAAGATGAAGGGAGATGTTGTATAAATACAAAATTCTTCAGAAAGACGTAAGTATGATCGTGTGTGTACCTGACAACAGGATGCCGAGAGACAAAACTAAACCCAACAGAATTCGAGGGAGAAATCCATGATTCAACAAGTGGCGACTGGGCAGAGCAGCTGGATGAGAGATTGACAAGGAAACAGGCCAGGGGACTCACACACACACCGGCTAGACCCGACACACGCTGCAGACCACTCCACCCAACGACGGCAGAACACGCTCTTCTCAACGGCAGATGGGACATTTTCCAGTCTAGGTCATTTACTAAGGCGCAAAACAAACCTCAACACATTTGAAATGACCGGAATCACATAAAATAGGTTGTCTTTCCACAATGGAAATTGAAATGAGGCATCAGTAACAGAAAAAAAAAAAAATTGAGAAATTCTCCAATGTGGGGAAACCAAACAACACACTTATAAATAATGAATGAGTCACATAAAAAAAAATCAAAAAAGAAATTAGGAAATACTTTGAGATGAATGAAAACGGAGACACACAAATGAAGAATAACAGGATGCAGCCAAAGCAGAGTGTAGATGAAAATATATACCCACACAGGCCCACATTAAAAAAAGAAGGATCTCCACTCAGTAACCTCAATTTGCACTTCAAAACACCAGAAAGGAAAAACCAAACTAAAGCTAAAATAAGCAGAAATAAGGAAAAAATGAAGATTAAAACAGAGAGCAACGAAATAGATAATAGAAATAATAGAGAAAATCAATAAAACCAAAATTTGGTTGTTTGGAAAGACCACCGAAAGTCATAAACCAAGTCAGAAACGTTGGAAACGTTTCCAAATGCTGTGGGATTTTTGCCTTTGATTGGCCAGTGGGTGCTGCTTCCCCTCTTGGCCTCCAGGAGACCCCAAGAAGGACAACGTGAAGAGGAAGTCCCATCTGCAACCTGCCCCGTCCTCACCTGCCCCGTCCCCTCCCCGCCTGCCCGTCCCCTGCCCAGCCCTG